CTCCCCCGCCCCCCGGGGCCTCGCCGCCGGGCCCGCTCACCTGGACCTCTGGAAGAAGCTGAACGAGGACACGTCGTACGCGGCTTTGAGCAGCACCGCATTGGGCTTGCCTTTGTACAGGACGCTGAGGCTGTACAGCTTCATGGTGCCGCGCCCTCGGGCCGCCCGCCCGCGGGACCGGGTCGCAGGGAGCAGCGCGGCCGCCGCCCCTGGAGACCGCCACACGCCGCTGACGGGTCGGACGCCGGCTACCCCGCCTGGCTCGGGGTCGACTTCCGGTTCCGGTCGGGGGCCGCCGCCCGAGCCCCAACGGAGAGTTTTCGTGCCCCGGATGCAGAAAAGAGCGGCCGGAAACACGGAGGCGGTGGGAGGGGAGGAGCGGGGGAAAGACAGCGCAGCGCATGCGCCTGCGTGCAAGCCCGGCCCCGCCCCTCTGGCCTGTCTGGGGCCGGCCTGTCTGGGGCCGCCCTCTCCCTCGTGCGGAGTCCCGAGTTCTCCCAGGCTTATCCCTCTCCCTCCTGCGGGGGGTCCGGTCCCTTCCGGGGCCTCCGCTCTCCCTCGTGGGGTGCCCCGTCCCCTCCTGGGCCTCCCCCCTCTCTCCTGGGGTGCCCTCTGCCCTCCCAGGCTACCCCCTCCCTCTGGGGGTGCCCTGAGTCCTTCCCTTCTCAGGCCCTCCCTGCCTCCCTCCCCGACTGCCCCGAGCCCTCCTGGGCAGCTCCTGACAACATACCCGGAGCAGCACCCACACACCAGTGCTCTGGGAACCCCAGAAAGGAGCTTTGATTTATGGGAGGATTGCCTTCCTGTGTTTTGTAAATCAAATCTTTAAGGTGAAGGGCAGGACACTTTTCTTCTAGAGGCTCCTGCAGCGATGTGAAGGCAAACTTCTCTTCCTTGCCAGCTCTCCGTCCCGCCCCGTCCCTGCTCACGCAGGACCCCTGAGCACCAGCCCGCAGGGCCACGGGCTTGCTGGGCTGGCCCGCTACCTGTCTAGGCACTGACGTAGGAGGCTGCTGACCTCAAAGGGTGGCAGGGAGGCGTCACTGCGAAAGGGCAGAAAATCCGCTCCACGCTTCGCGATCAGCCTGGCGCACAGAGACTTAGAAGGCCTCGTTTGCCTTGAGATGTTGAAATAATGCTTTGCCAATGGGTGGGGATGAATGAGGCAGAGCTCCACAAGAGTTCCACGTCTTGCCCATTTCTTGTTTATTAAATGGTATTACGTAATCGGCATCTCACAGGCCACATAAAAGGGAACTTGGTCTTTGGCATTTGGCAGTGAGCTTACACAATCATGCTGGAAGCAGCCAGATCTGAGGTGATGGAAATAGACAGCCTGTTTGAAGAACCCACAGCATCACTCTACACATTACTCTTAGTCAGGGTTTCCCAGCCCCAGCACTACTCATGTTTTGGTTGGATAATAGGGGCTTGTCCCAGTGGTTGGGGGCCATCCCATGCAATGCAGATAGCATCTCAGGCCTCGTAGGCACTAGATTCCCGTAGCACCCCATCCGCCGTTTGGCAAGCGAGAATGTCTCCAGGCGTGGCAAATGTGCCCCGAGGAGCAGAGAAAGATGTTTCTGTGTCTGAAGGAAGGTCCTGCCACCTACCCCCCGACCAGCCCTCTTCCCTGGATATTTTCAAGTGTAGAGCGTGGAGAGGACTTTTCCACATCCCCCCTGTTTGGGTGCAAAACATCAAGAACAGACACCGGCCCACGCCAGGCCAGTCACCCACAGACACAGGCTCACCAGCAGGCCAGGCGGGGGTCCCAAGATGCTGTGCTGACACCGTTGTCCTATAGGGGGCGGGCGACAGCCGTTGCTGGAGAAAATCCCCGGAGCCCCTTTTCTCCTTCTCCACTGAAAGTTGTTCAAAGGGACAAGGAGGGCAGTTCTTGCTTGGAATAGATTTAAATGTGTTCACTTGTCCCATACTGGTGGATGTCTTACCATTGGCCTTACGCCACGCACTCCCCACGTGCTACCTCATTCAGTCCTCACAGAAGAGAGGAGGATTTTATCAGCACCTTACAGACATAGAAACAGATTCAGGTCAAGGAAATTGCGAGTCAACACCACAACACCTAGCACAGCCCAGCTCCACTCCCAGAGGCTCTCCCCTTCCCTCTGGCCTGGGCCCACCTCCACCTCTCTATGTGGTTGCAAACTCCCCAACCCCATCATCCCTCTTTTTTTTTTTTTTTAAGATTTTATTTATTCATCTGAGACAGAGAGAATGAGAGAGACAGAGAGCACATGAGAGGGGGGAGGGTCAGAGGGAGAAGCAGACCCCCCACCGAGCAGGGAGCCTGATGCAGGACTCGATCCCGGGACTCCAGGATCATGACCTGAGCCGAAGGCAGTCGCCCAACCAACTGAGCCACCCAGGCGCCCCCCATCATCCCTCTTATTGAGAAGCAAGCCCACCTTCCACTCCAGCACCCAGCCGTCACTCAACTCGGATTCAGTCCACAAGCCCCGAAGCATAAAGGTGAACAAAGCACTAACCTCTCTCAGTCTCTCTCTTTTTTCAACTGTAAAACTGGAAATATAACCCTTTCCATCGGTGTGTTGCTGGGAATGGTAATACACTATATTCCAAGCTCCTGTCTTAGTAGATGTTTAACAAGTAAAAACCATGATATTTCCAGGCATTGTTATCATTTATGACAAAAACGAGAGATTATCCCGGGTTAAATGCATCAGGCACCCTGCACGAAGCAGAGATCTGACAAGCTGAGTGAGGTCTGCAGAGTGGAAAATACTACCGTATGTCTTATAATTTCCTGGTTTCCATCAGTGTGTTGTGGTTACGTAAGAGAATTCTTGGTTGCAGGAATCGGATGTGTATAGGATGTATACAAAGGGTAACGCACAAATGGTAAATTGAAGGAGTCGGGATGCAGGTACCCAGGAATGCTCTGTACTGTTCTGCAAGTCTGAAACGACAGGGACAGGAAAGATTGCAGGGAAGAGCACAGATGTCTTGGCTCACGACCAGCGGCCCAGGCCTGTGACTTCACCCCTGCTGGGCAGGCAGGTGCCACCCACCTTCAAGGCCTTGCTCAGCTCACGAACGGACCCATTTCTAGCTGCACAGCGGAACCCCCACGGAGCTGGATCAAAGCCAGCTGAGGGGCATGCCGGGGGTTTGCAGGGGGAACCCGGCCATGCCGTGGCCTTGGCCCCCCTACCCCCTTGTCCGGTCAGCCAAGGCCAGGGCTGCTTTCCCTGTAATTGTAACGTGAACCTCTGCAGCTTACCCAGGACAGGAACCCTTTGAAAGGGACCACAGATGTGATCAGGCCTCCTAAGGAGTTTCAGAGCCTGTCACTCCTAAATGTGCCAATTTGACATATCGACTGCTTTGAGTTAGTGGCACCCGACACACAGCAGAGGCAAGAAGCCCACTCTGACCCTCCTTTTTATTCTTCAAAGCGGGAGACTGAACCCCCACATGAAAGGTGCCCTCCGGGGTCGCAGGAGGAAGACATTCTTACCACCAGAGATGAATGAGGCGGAGAGAAATCTGTGCAAACAAGCCTTATCTTGCAGTGACTCCCAGCAACATTCTCTCCCTGCCCCAACCCCTCTGTCACTTCGCTTCTTCACTAAGCGTTTCTTGTCACCCGAGTGTTTGCTATTGATCGTTCCTGCTCTGGTCACTTCTCTGGGTCTTCGTTCTCTTGTGAAGGCTCCCGTGCACCTGTAAAGACTTTAGTAGAACGTGTATGCTTCTCTCCTGTTGATGGCAGCTTAGTTCTTAGGCGCAGCTGGAGACCCGAAGAGGGCAAAGAATGTGTCCTGTTCACCTCCTTAGTAGTTCACCAGCCTAAGGAGCACAGACTTGATGCCATCAGCCTGCCCCGGCCCCCAGAAGCACTGCTCGCTACCACAACCCTCCCAGCGGGTTCCCCAGGCCACCAGCCCAGAGGGAACAGGAGATGTCAGAGCAGGAGAGGATGGGGGTATACTACGAGAAGGTTCGCCTGGAGGCAGGCAGTGGCCAGGAAGGGACCACAGCCGGGGAAGACCAGAGGCATGTGAGTCAGCTGGGAAATAGTGGGACAGGCCCCTCAGAACTGCCTCCCTTGTAGGGGCTTCTCAGAAGCTCTATTTGTACCCTGAGACCCCTCCTCAGCTCAGGGGCTAGGGATGGGTGTGTAGCCCAGGCTGGACACACGGTCATTTAGGCTGGGGGCTTGATCTTCTGAGGAGCTGCCCTGCACAGGACCTAGGAAAGTCTGCAGAGGAGGAAGGGGGCCAGGGGGTAGGTAGAGCCCTGCAAGAGGGGAATCTGGGCCCCACAGCAGCTGGTCTCCAGGACTCCCAGGAACAAAAAGCAGGATGGGAGTCATCACAAAGGAAAAGTGGTCAGGAAGGATCTGAAAAGCAGGGACGTGGTTGAGAAGATGCTGAGCGCCCCCCTCCTTGGGCTCCCTAAGCTCCCACACACGCTGCGGAGGGCCCCCTGAGGCCCTCTCCCCACCCCCCCCCACTAAATCTGCCCCAGCGAAGCCCCCTTCTATTTAGCCCTCCAGAGACCCCATGTGAGTCCCTTGGTGAGCCCACAGCAGTGCTTTCTGGGTTTCCCTCCAAGACCGCCCTCCGACCCCCAGTCCCCCTCAGTCTCACTCTGAATACCACACCTAGCCCTCCTCCCCAGCCAGCCCTCCTCCCCAGCTGGGGCTTAAGTGCCCCCACCACTGAAGGCTCCCTGGCCTCCCCAGTCCCCCTGAGCACACCTCTGAGTGCCCTCAGCAATCCCCCC